CCAGCCGGCGCCTCCACGTTCCCTCCCTCCGCAGAGGCGGTGTTGACGTTCTTGGTGACGTGGAACACGAACTCCCGCAACTGCCACGAGGCCCAGGCTGTCATGGAAACCCTCCTGAGGCACGAAGCGCCCGACAGCCTCCTGCAGTACTCGGGCATCAAGTCTGCCGTGGAGTCCCTGCTGCCCTACACCGGTGAGTGGCGCCGCGGGGACGGGACGGAGCCCCACGTCTCCTCCCGCCTCGTGAACGTTCCCCGTTTCCCTCGGTCTGAGGAGAAGGCAGGTTTTGCACCCCGTTCCTGCAGTGCTGACCCCCGGGCTTTTCCCTGCAGAGCGCCACTTCCAGAGGCTGAGCCGGCTGCTGCAGGCCTCCCTGTTTATCGTGGCAAAACATGAGGCTGGCGGACGCGTCCCCGCAGGAGGACATGACTTCGTGACCCTCCTCCCACCAGTTGCCCTTTCCCAAGGGGAGAGTCGGAACTGCTTTCCCACAAGGTACGGCAACTGGAACGTTCCTGTATTTTATAATAAATTTCTAAAGGTTGAATTTCTAAATCGAGTCCAGCGTTGAGTCTCCTTGGGGTCGTTCCTTTGGCCAAGCCCTGGTTTCCCTTTGCGTTTCCACCCTGTGAATTTTCAGGCCCAGACACTTCAACAGCACTGAGTTTGGAGAAGAGGCAGAACCCGGCTCTGAACAAGCAGTTGGTCTTTACTGGGAATTTAAAGACTTGACTGTTGGGAGCAACTACTGGCAATATCATATATCCCAAGGCCCAACGAGGCCGTGTGTATTGATCCGTGCTCATGGAACGACAGAATGGTTTGGGCTGGAAGGGACCGTAAAGATCATCTAGTTCCAACCCCCCTGAGTCATGGAATATTTTCTTTGCTTGGGCAGAACACAGCCTGAGCCAAGGCAGGTCCTCCCCTGTGCCCACCCCGAATGGCAGCACCTGGAAGGGAGCTAAGTGCGATTTCAGGTCCCCACTAGCAAACTTTTGAAGTATAAAATCCAAGCAGTCTTCGTAGGTATTTACGTGTCTTTTATTTTAGAGACAAAAATGTATAAAAATCTAGAACAGCACAAACACCTCAGGTTGGTTAAATTGCTCGTTTCAAAAAAAAAAGGAACAGAGACCTGGGAGAATAACTACAATTAAAGGTAGCAATCTATGTCAAAGTCTTAGTTTTTCCTGCAATGATTTCTCTAACTCGATTCTAGTAAACGAGTTTAGGATGGGAATTGCTGCGAGTTTCCGTAACTGTCAGACCCCCTTGGAAGGGGAATTTGTGTTCACAAAAATGAGCTCCAGCTCCGGACCCAGCTGGGAAACGAGCTGCACTACAACGTTTTTGTTTCTGTGCCTGCACAGATGTCGCTGTGGGGAACAGTCAGAGATGAGGTTCTGAGCCAACAGGGCTTTTTAATTTTGTTCTCACAGCCATCCAGGAGATCCATCAATTCATCTGTTTGATGGCCAGTTCTCCACTACCCAAGTTGATCTAACCTTTTAAAAAGAAGGTTAAGAAAAATAAAGATAAGAAAATAATAATAAGAAAAAAAGATAAGAAAAACCTAAACCAAACCACCAAAACTCAGAGTTTAAAAAAAAATATAAAATAGGTCCAGATAAATGACATTCACTGTCCCATCCCCACCCAACACTCAGAATTGCAGCTGTGGGTTTCCCGGGTGCCTTAAGTCCCTTCCTGGGGTTGCGCTGCGCTGTTCCCCGGGGAGGTGGCACGCTGCCAGCTAGCGCCGAGCGCGGAATGATGCCAGAACAAGGGTGAAATTCTCACATACCGCACTGCAGAACGAACTCCTGCCTGGGGGAGAATGAACCGAACCCGCAGTGAGCTCTAACTGACGTAGGAGCTGCCAGACCCGTAGCTGCCGGGACTCCCCTGATGAGTTAAACCACTCAATCCTCTCCTGTCAACTCCAGTAAAGCCCCTCCTGGCTGCCCGGGCTCCCTGTCCAAGCTGCAGCACACATCAGTGTTACCCAGGGAAGCAACGTTGGCACGTGTCTTCCGTCAGGATCTAACCGTGTCCTTGGAAAGCCTTAAGTCCCAAACCCTGCCATTCCCTGTGCCCCTGCGTGACTTCGGCAAGGAGGGTGCCACCTCGGTCGTGGTGCTGGCCCAGGGCTGGGTCTGTGCCCCTCTCCCTGGGGGCATTAGTGCACACTCGGAAGAGGGAGCAGAGCCTGGATGGTGGGCCGGGAGGAAGACTGCTGGACGGCTCGCTTGGTGATGGTGCTGCACTTCTGGAGGATCTCGTGGGCTGAGGGGCGCGTGGGCACCTTGGGGACGCAGGTGGCCAAGTC